TCCAATTTTTCGCACGCCTTTCGTTGTCCAGTAGGGGTGGTGATGATACTGAACTGCAGAGGTGTCCTCGGAAGGCCAACATGTAAAATAACCCCTTAAGTCAGATTATTAGGCAAACTGACTTTTCAAATTAATCATGGAAATAGCCGCTTACTTACTAATTTTAAGTAGGGTGAATTTCCACAATTTTCGTTCGCCCACCGTTAATCCACTTGGAGTTGGTGTTGTATTTAAAAAATGTTCCTCAGTGACCTCGCCCAAGCTCCGCGAACACCCCCAACACACACGCGCTCGGCGTTAGTCAAGCAGGCGTTAGTAATGATACTAAAATGTACTTCAATGATCTCACCTAAGGTCAGCGAACAAACCCCCAGCTTACACGCGTAACTTTTTTGATTTACATGACTATTGCGCTCTGATTTGTCCTCCAATATGCCCCACCCATTCCACCTCCTAAACCCGGTTGCCCGTATTGGAATGGAGCGCGTTTCGCGCGCACTTTGGGAACCCCAAGAGAACTCCTTACCCAGAAGGCTTTCCAGGAGGAAGTTAGCGGCAGAATAAGCGACTGCCTTTAAGGAAGTAACGAGCCGCTCCGAAATAAGTAAACTTCCGCAGACTCCATTCAAGATACGGTAGATTAGCTATGTTTCTTCTCCTTGGAAACAGCAATTTACGCCTGCGAAACATCGTCAGCAGATGGAGAAAGTGAAGGGTAATATTCAATCCTTTTGCCGCAATAACGGCTGAAGAATTTTAAAAAATGGCAAAATTTGATTCAGTTTTGATGCAGTTTCACGCGGAACTGCACCAGCCAGTTTCAGGGTAAACAAAATCTATTGCTGAAATCTCCAAATGCTCAGCCTTTTATGATTATTCGCGCTAACCGGATCTGAAGAGTCAGTGGGCCCTAATACAATCAAACAGCCGTCGCGACGGTAGCAGTCATCATTTTATTCCAAGCTGAGGGCGAATATATTCCGTTTTATAATTTTTCGCGCTACCAAAATACATCAATGCTTCTTTTAATCGACATTGATATTTGTCGGAATGCAATTAGCGTATGTCATAGAAGCCGCCGTTTAATAATGCCTTTTTGATTGTCTATACACAGGATACGGCAGTGGTAATTGGGTTTTAAGCAAATATAAAAGGTTAACTTTATTCAGAATTCATCGAAAGCCCGCGTATACCTGCCACCTGGTCTTTTGAATTCTTTATTCTGATTTTAGCTACTTACTTAATTGTTGTAAGTAGTTGTTATTTGTTATTGTTATATGTTGTGGGATTGTCTAGGGTGGGT